GGAATTAACATTAACACATGTTTAATCCACTTACCCAAGTCTTTTCTTTGCAAAGTTTTCCTCTTCCCTTGCTGTGCATACACTAGAGCATCTTTGGCAATCATCTCAACAAACAATTCCTGTACAAAAAGAAACCAAAAAGAAATCATTCAAAATGAACCACTGATATAAAATATATTTGTGCTGAAATGCAACTGTTTTTGCACAACTGGCTGCTCCCTAAACAGTCACCACAACAGATCATCTGCCTCCATGCCACCCTATTGCTAGCATGCTCTTCTGCATGTCCCCCTTCACCGCATCAATGAACCTCCACTAAGATCTTTCCTCTTTTCTTCTTGCCTGGCAGCTCCACAGTCAGCATCCAATATATCCACCATGTCTTCTGTGAACATGTCCAAACCATTGTCTCTGAAGTCTGTCTTTAACCCCAAAGCACTCAACCTGAGCTGTCCTTCTAGCAAGTCTCACTGACACCAGGCCATGTAAACCTTCCCAACACTCACTTCGACCCTCCTGCACTCTCTTCTTGACCTCTCTTGAACACTGTTTGTCCCAGGTATTTAAACTCATCTACCTTCACTATCTCTGCTCCTTGCAGCTTTACTGTTACACCTGTCTCCCTCTCATTCACACATGTATCCCATCTTGCTTCTACTAGCTTTCATTCCCTATCTAGCATGAAGTTTGTTCAGTTTGACTGTAACATTTTAGTTAGACATTAACGTGAGTAAACGCGTTTACGCCAAAGGTTAACCTACACTAAAGTTTAAATATACTTCAGTAATTTCAGGCTGATAGGTCATGGCTGATAAATAAACTAAAATGAAATATAAAAGTTTAGAAAATAGATTATTTACTATCTGCACTTAAGTTTGTTAGCATCGTATAGAGAGTCAGCACTCGTGTTACCAGGACCGGTTAGGATATCAGTGGTCTCACCGTGGCTTTAGCGATGATGAACACAGACTCCTGGCTGGCGAGGGCCACGTCTGGGTCGGTCTTCATCAGAGCCTTGATGCGGGCCAGCGGGAGTTTGGACAGCCGGCTGTGGCTCACCGTGACTGGGCCCGTCTGCTGCTGCTGGCCGCTGTCCTCCGCCTCGGCCCCGCGGGTCTCCTCCTCGCTCTCACACCGGTCAGGGTCGTGCTCCGTTGCGGTCACAAGACTCGTCGTCACTGTTGCTGCCATTTTCTGATATTTTGCGCTAATTTTATGTCTTAAGAAATAAACACACACGTAGAAACGACTATAGTTTAATAGCTACATGTCACAGATAATAACATCAACAACCGCAGCGGGCGCGCGCCAGCATGTGGTTCCGGGCTTTCGTGAGAAGGCCTGCGTTGATTCGTCAGTGAGTGCAGGCCCCGCCAACTAATCCTCTTCGGTGATTGGACAGATTGTGAATCCAGGCTTCGCTATTGGCTAAAGTTAAACGTCATTCACCGCACATTGCCGCCTAGATAGCGGGCTGTAGCCAGAGCCCTACTAACCAAGGGGTCCGAGTGTAGACACGAAGTCGCAGGTGAAGTTGGCCACAAATAACACTTTGCTATTATATGGTTAAAATATATCATTTTTATAACTTTGTAATTGCACATTATTTTGTGTATGCGCTAAATGTTATTTTTTGTGACATTTACCAAAGGTGGGAAAACTCAACTGTACTCCTCAATATTTCCACTAGGGGGCAGTGGGAACAAACTATTAAAAACAACTGTATAGTACTGTGCATCAGTATACGCTATTGTGAACTTATTGTGAACTCTACTGTGAAATATAAATGGCTTACAAAGACTTTAATGACAAGTCAGTAAAATTGTATTCATTTGAAGTTGTGTTTGTCTCTGATGTCCAGTATTAGCTCTACTTTTAATGATTATTGTTGCTGTTAGATTCAACGCACTGTGTGGATTCCTTCATCAGCTGACACAGAGGTCATCCAAGTGTGGATGTGGTGTATGGCTATGGCTGAACCTGCAATCTTTTTAAGCTCTCTCTTGTTATGTGAATACAGCATGATTAATGGGAAGCTGAAGTTTGCTCTTATGGTCTCAGTGTTTGGGTTTCAATTGAATGAATTCATAGATTCTCATACCTTCTTTTCATCCATATCTGACAATATTAGCATTTTTTAGCCAATTATGACAGACATATATGTCTGTGTCTCTTCACATCATATTTTCTCCTGTGTAAAACTGAAAAAAAAAATCAAAAGTCTACAAAACCTCTATTTCAGAATATACTGCCGCTTTATTTTCCTTGTGATAGTTTCCCTCATAATCACCAAAATCTGCATTGCTCTGGTAACTTGTCACTTTCGCCGATGAGTACAGTGTTAGACCCACAACCCTTCTTCTTCTTCTGCCTATATAAATAAAAACATCTTCCCTTATATGTATTTTTAAGGAATAAATGGCAAAAAAGCCAGATGTAGCAAATAAGATATTAATATTAAATTAATTAATATTAATTAATTTATTCTTATTTCATCAGAAGGTTCCCTAAACACTCTTATTTCCAAAAAAAATTAATTTTCTGGCAGTTATTTGAGAAAATCACTATATTAATATGCTTAATATGGTTCAGGCTTTAAAGTGTTAAAGAGCTTAAAGAGCTATTAAAGCTTAAAGCTGGGCTTTTAGTAATCTGCTAGTTCTTTTATGTTTCTCGACGTGTTTGCGTGGGTTTTCTTCAAGTAGTCCGGCTCTATCACAGTCCAAAGATTAGTTTGTGATTCAAAATTGCCCACAGGGATGAATGTGAATACTTTTTCGTCTCTCTGTGTTAGCCTTGTGTCAGATTGGCAACCTGTCCAGGGTGTACCCTGCCTCTCACCCTATAGCAGCTTTGATAGGCTCCAGTCCACCTGCAATAGAGTATCTAAATAGCACATTAAACTCTTCTTACCTGAATATTTTAATGTATGAAGCTGTTTTCATTAGCACTTTATTTTATTCCAGAAAGTTATTAAAACACTTTTTAGATTTTATTTATTTATATATTTTTATATATTTTTTGTCAGAGCTTGACGTTGCCATCTGACAAACAATAAATATGGTCTAATGAAGGGTCCTTAGGGACTAGTAAAGCGCTATATAAATACAGGCCATTTAATGAAAAGAACGCCCACGAACTTGCTTTAATGTGTAAGTTACATGAGCATTATCATCATTATGAAAGCAGGCGTGCCTATTTTTATTCTTTGAAAGTATCTTTGCAGCATGTCCATTGTGTCAGGTCATGTCAGCAGTCCACTAATACACTCCGTTAATAGGATTGTGAGGACTGCTTTAGTCCACTGACGCTCCATTCACATGTTCAGCCACAGTCAGGTGTTACACTCCGAGGAAGAGATATGAAGGACTCACAGCTCCCAGGTAAAATATTTTAGTTTTATTACTGTTATTGATCAGCTAATGTGATTCGTTTCTTTTTCATGTTGTTTTTAAAATTAGATGTACTTTTTTTTAAAAAGTACTTTAAATCATCTGTATAAAATCTCTTATCAACCGTAGCCTTGGTGATTAGTAAGATTTTGAAAACCCATATTTGGATGATTTAAAATTGTATTTTATTTCCGAAGTGCCAGATTGGCAACTGAAAATATCTCCACTCTTATATGTGAATTTTCCACAAAAGGTGATTCAAAGCTACTCGTTAAATCTCATTCATTGCTATTATTTTTCACAGTAACTACGTCGCTCCAGTCATACAAGCTGTTACATTTACAGGTAGATTTAACAAGAATAATAGAAAAGCAGTTTCACGTGGATCCAAATGCTGATAATAATCATCTGCCTGCTCAGTTTCATACGCAGTGTGGAAGTGTAATCCTAATTTGGCAACTCTGTTCATTCTTGTTTTGCCAGTCTAGTCTTCATTAGCATCCTATAAATAGCTGTCTGCAAGCTAAATGGCATTAATTCTCCATCTAAAAAACCCAAGTAATCCTCGGCTATATTTGATCGACAAAGTCCAAGAGGGGGAAGAACATAATCACACTGTAATGTTTAATATTTGTTTATTATTATTGGTAATAGTTGACTGGCTGGTTCATTTTGCTCACAGTCGTTTTTGAGAGGTTATGCGTGCTCTCCAAGATGCCCACACAGGATTCAAGTAGCCAGTCTGGCATCTGACCTGATTGTCGGGTCAGATTTGAGACTCTATGCAATGCTCAGACTGTACTGCACAATTTCCTGTAAAAACAAAAGAAACGCCGTACGAGGCAATCGTTCGAGCCAAAGCATTGTTCTGTTTTTGGAGAAATTTGTGCACTATCAAAAAAAATGCAAATTAACGTGCTGATTCTTAAGAACCGTGTCCAAAAAATGAAAACTTCAATTCCCAGAGCAGAAAAAACAGGAACGGTCAACATCCTGCTTTTGTCCATTAAAAATGAAAACACACATATTGAAATCCATTTACCGTGATCCAGAAATCTTGTTTCCTGCATAGCGGTCACAACACTAACACCGCAAAGGTGCAATGTTAGTATTTTCAGAAACGGTGTGAGTGGAAGCTCTAACCGGGAGAAGAGATTCAGTTTTATTCATTTCAGATTATACTTTGTTTTTGTTCTCCTAAAGCAAAAGAATATAACATTAGCAGATGAGTGATAGCAAAATAAATCAAAACTTTTAGTTTGCCACATTCTTGTCTATCGTAGCATCATTTTTAATAATATCCACTGACAGCTTAAAAGTGCAGATAGAAACTCGGGTTAAATTTAGGCAGAATACAGGCCTGACCTTTTGACTTATGTGGGATGTACAGTTACATACCAGGTAAGTTAGCATGGAGGTCAATCTTATTATCCATGTCCCATACAGCTCTACTTACGCAACTTGTGTGCGCCCTGAGTTTTGGTGTTTGTCTAAGAAGCGATGTTGTCTCGGTCCAAATCTAAAGGAAATCCTAATATTTCTGCTATTTCACACAGCACGGCTGCAACGTTTTCACACTTTTTTTGCTTTTACTTCCAAGCCGTCAAAATGCGTCTCTGGCCGAAAGAGAAAACGAGCAAAAAAACCAAAGATGACTCTCCGAAGACGCAAAAACCAGCCAAGCCCCTGGCTTCTGCTGCCATCCCGCAGCTGACTGACGCGGAGAGGAGAGCGCAGTCTCCGTTTGAGAGGATCGTCTATGACATGACCCACAACGAGAAGATCGTCAATGACCTTGTGCTCGGTCGAAGGATCGGCTTTTACGAGCTGCGTGGAGAAATCGGGCAAGGCAACTTCTCTACAGTCAGGCTGGGCATCCATGCCCTGACGAAAGGTAAAGAACCGTCAGTTATTTAGGATGTTTCGTCCCAGTTATTCAGTCACCGTTAGTCATCTTTTTTATGTGTTTCAAACTCATTCCTGCTTCACTCACTGAATAAGTGTTCAAGAGCACCATAAATCTGTGCAGACTTTAAAAAACACTGCAACAATCATCCTATTAAAAGCTAATTCCTCTCCTTTTGATCAGATGCGTCTCGTCTGTTCTTGTGTTAAATCTCCTAAATATACATCCGTCCTTATTTCAGTCCTTAACCTCATCAGACCTTCTTTAAATTTGTCACTGACAGCTAAGCCTTCTCCCTCCCCTTCTCCTGTCTCAGAGAGAGTAGCTGTTAAAATCATGGACAAGCTGCATCTGGATAAGAAGAAACAGCCTCTGACTTCCTCAGAGATCAGCTGCATGGAGAAGCTGTGCCACCCCAACATCGTGCGCCTTTATGAGGTGATGGAGACGAGCCGGAAGCTGTATCTGGTCATGGAGTACGGCAGCGGTGGAGACTTGTTCTCTCGAATCACCACGAGGGGGAAGCTTAACGACCTGGAAGCCAAGCTGGTCTTCGCACAAATCATCTCTGCTGTTAAGCACATGGTGAGCTTCGGTTTCCCTCTTAGTCACAGCATGAGTCTGTGATGTGTTCGTTGATTGAAATGAGGAGAGAAAGCATGGAATGAATTAAAAAATCCCAGCTGGACTCAAAATGTGCCCGACTTTATGTGTTACGTGATCAGATTGAAACCTTAAGGCCTCTAACAATAAGTAGAGATGAGAATGTGAAACTGGGTCAAATTTGAGTATCGTGTTAAAGGATACTTTGACATGCAGGGTAGAGCAGGCAGAGACCGAGCCACTGACCA